CAGGCTTAGATAAGTGTCTAACAAACCGAGCAATATCACTAAGTAGCACAGAAAAAGACCTAAACGATGAAATGAAACAGAGAGAATAGGAAGAAGCGTCGGTGTTAAATAACTATCCTATAAAATTCATTAGGAATATCAAAAAGGATCAAAAGCAAAATAAAAATAATAGTGAAACTAATAATGACAACATAAATCAGAGAGAATATAAGGCATTTACAAATTTACCACATAAGGAAGGGACATCTGGGACCCTCCCTACGTAGGATTCTCAATAAAGCAGGAATAAGAGTGGCATTCAAACCTACAAACTCAATCAGAGACAAGCTCTGTAGGCTAAAAGACGGTGTAGGTTGACTTAATTAAACAAAATAATATAATTTACAAAATACCCTGCAATGCAACAGAAGTGACTCAACGCGAATACCAGAGAAATGGAACATATTATTACCACCAGTCAGTCAAATCAGAGGAGGATAATAAATAATCTTAAAAATTCTATTTCAATTCACATACATTCTAACATGTTATTTATTTTTACTGCAAAAAACATCTTATTTACCGTCTGATTGTATATGATTGATAACACTCATATTATTATTTCTGAATGCACTTCATCTTATATTGATTTTATTCAAATGTCTAATCATCAATTTTGCTGATGTATATAAATGAAGGAAGAAAGTTGTGTGAGTGAGTGACTTGATATGATTATGAGCGGTAGTGATTTGTGCTCGAAAGGTGGTCATCAGGGAATATTACTGTATAACAAGACTATGTAATTTATCAAAATAAAATCTTATCTATAATGGAGTTATACTCTGTTTGGACACTAGCAACTAATGTGATGTGTCTAGTTCTTTCTTTTCTTTGGTGCAGACTGAATTCTATCAGTCAAGTTTGCAATGTGGCCACCATGCCACTAGGTAGATCTCGCCATCACGGTGTACATTGATTTGATGATATTAGATAGTTGGAGGCAATTGGCCACAGGAAGCCCTACCTGACCTAGGTTTCGTGCTAGTTGGCACTCACCAGTCAGCAAGGTATATCTGCAACCTTAAAGGAACTCATGTCCCCTCTGAATTATACTCTACAACCACAGTGCCCAAGTTTTATACTTATCCTTCTCGTTTTGTTTATTAAATTTTATGTTCTTCTCTTATTATGTCAATTGCTAATCTTATTATTTTTACGCTGAACAATTTCTAGTATTACCTCACTTGTCATCCCTAATTTGTCTAGTTAATTTCAGTTTTCACCATAGATTGATATCAGTTAGAGAACTATTAAAAAAACTCCCGAAGGGTACTGGACTTTTGTTTGGCTCTCATCAACAGTACCCAACTACCGCGGTTCGAACTCAGAACATCCCGGTGACAAAGAAAGCTCTCAGACCATTCAGCCACTCGGACGCGATTCGATGGCCCGTCAACTCCAACTCCTACGTATGAGTGATGTGTATAGAGCATTGTCTCAACTACAGGAGGAACAGACGAGGATGTCAAATCGAGAATCGGGAAGGCGAGAAACACATTCATCAACCTGAAACCAATCTGGAAATCTTCGTCACTCAACTCAGCATCAACAACAAAATGATTCGGATTTTCAATACAAACGTCAAGTCAGTTCTTCTATACGGATCAGAAACTTGACGGCGGGTCACAAAGAATATTTCCAACACTCTGTTGCAGACCTTTATCAACAACTGTCTTCGCTGGCTCTATACTGAAGATCAGATGGCTACCGGAAAGAATCACCAACAAGAAACTATGGGAACCAACAAAACAAGAACTAATCACCCAACAAATATGCAGGAGAAAATGGAGATGGATTGGACACTCGCTGAGGAGGCCACTGGGTGACATCGCGCGTCAGGCCATCGCTCGAGTGGAACCCGAAAGTGAAGCGGCGAGTGGGACGTCCAAGAGTGATATGGAGGAGATCGTGTGATGAGGAGTTGAAACAGTATGGACTAACATGGATACAGGTGAAAAGTACATCACAAGACAGAAGCAAGTGGAGACGTGCAGTTGAAGCCTTATGTTCCACTAGGAACCCAAGGGAACAATAATAATGATATAATATAATAGCGCAACCACTAGTCAGCGTCATTGACGAGTATTTGTTCTCACTCCCAACCGAATGGACCCCATTAGAACATCGTTCAACTTCATCCTGCAGCCAGTCATTAGACAGCATGAGATCAGTTCTCAAGAGCCAGTTAGTTTTTAGGGATTCGATTTTGTCTCAAATTTGAACACTGATTGGTATCAGTTGATTTCAAATAAGGATAATTTTCTACAATGGAATATCACAGTAATTATCACCTTGTTGCATAATGTTTTAATTGCTTAATAAGCTTATTATTTCTACATCCCTACCCTTTGAGAATAATATATTTGATGGACTATTTTTATTCAGTATATAACTGATATGTAGTCACAAGATATCTGCTTTGTTTGCCCATCTGATGTGGCTTGCTATATCTCTATTGAATGTTAGTCATTGATGACTCACAATCTGTCTTTTCTGTCATCAACGTATATGAAAAGAAGGATTTCACTATCCCTGAAAAGAACATTCCCTGCTGCATCTTTGAGAGTGGCCTTTACTAGTCGACCATTACTATTCAATAGTCTGAAGGACAAGATCCCGCTGTTGACCAACTCACCTGCTCACGTGGAGCTAGGTATATCGGTCGTTCGACTTGAGTTTCGTCCAAGAGGGTGCAAAAACACTATCCTAAATGGTGACGAAGAGGTGGAAGTGGAGCAATAAGAAGCGCGATCATTGAACATCTGGTCGATAATGATCACCCCATCTCTACAGCCTCCGCCTTTAAAGGCATCTACAAGGCAAACGTCAGTTTGCTCAGATCACCATCTACCCGACTCATCTGTATTCCTGGGGCTTGGGTCATCAAAACAGAAAAAGTTCGTTCAACCCCTCCAACTTTCATGGTCTTAATCCCTCTACTATGCTAAAGTATGGTAATCCCCAATCATATTTTAGCTCTACTACTATTTTTTTTCATTTTGTTTATTCAATTTGTATACTCTTCCTTTATTCTCACTTTGAACTATCCACGGCATTATTTCCCTCGTTCCACTTGTCATTCTAAATCAATTCTGTTTTACAATGTCAAAATTCTATGCTATCGAATTTCACGCAATGTTACGTAACGTTCTTATTTTATTTTATTCGATTTGCCTACTAATCCTATAATTGCACACCCCTTCCATGTTCTATACGTCCTATGAATTATTCTACATATGACATATATATATATATTCTATATATGCAGGTTGAAGATGAGGCAGTAACTCATCGAAGAAGACATTGCGAAATAGTCGCGCTACGTTGTGAATTGGCAGAAGTTAGTATTCATTGGCAATTGGATCGAGTTGCAGTGGCTCAATGGTCTACGAGCTAGCTCGCCTTGTAACCAGAATGTCCCGGCTTCGAATCCCGCTGGGTGCGTACTGGTGAAGGGTCCCAAACTAGGGCAAAACGGCTGTCCAGTACTCTAAGGTTTTCTAGTGGTTCTCTAACCGATGTCAGCTCATGATGAAATCCTCCATCCAATCAAACTAAACCCCCACAAAACCAATACTTGGATATTCTATATATGACAATAAATGTTTTGCCGCTTGACATTTAACTATGACTATCATCACAAACATTTTAGTTTTAATTGCATTTCATGATGCTATTATTTTATGCATTCACACATATGATTCTATTCCCTCACCGCATGTAATTTCTTCTACACTTATCAAGTATTGCTTTCGTCCCAAACTAGGCTGACGAAACAGATGACTGTCCAGTACTCCCTGTGGCTGGTTTTCAATGGTTCTCTAACTGATATCAATCCGTGATCAACTCGTCAAGAACAAATCAAATCCGCGCAAACCAACTATTAAAAACAATACTCATTATTATTATTATTTTTCACCATCAGCGCCAATCACCATCAACGGGAGGGATTTGAAAGAGGTTACTTCATTCACTTATCTAAGAAGCATTGTCTCAACTACAGGAGGAACGGACGAGGATGTCAAATCGAGAATCGGGAAGGCGAGAAACACATTCATCAATCTGAAACCAATCTGGAAATCTTCGTCACTCAACCTGCATCAACAACAAAATTCGGATTTTCAATACAAACGTCAAGTCAGTTCTTCTATACGGATCAGAAACTTGACGGCGGGTCACAAAGAATATTTCCAACAGCCTGTTGCAGACCTTTATCAACAACTGTCTTCGTTCTATACTGAAGATCAGATGGCCGCCGGAAAGAATCACCAACAAGAAACTATGGGGACAAACAAAACAAGGACCAATCGCTCAACAAATATGCAGGAGAAAATGGAGATGGATTGCACACTCGCTGAGGAAACCGCTAGGTGACATCGCGCGTCAGGACCTCGAGTGGAACTCGAAAGGGAAGCGGCGAGTGGGACGTTCAAGGGTTACATGGAGGAGATCATGTGAAACAGTATGGACTAACATGAATGCCAGTGAAAAGTACAGCAGAAGACAGAAGCAAGTGGAGACGTGTAGTTGAAGCCCTATGTTCCACTAGGAACCCAAGGGAACAATAATAATATATAATAATTATTTTTTTAATGATAACAAAATACATCCCACACACATTTATCTTCAATTTCTTATAACAAAACGAAGAAACAATAATAATAATAGTAGTAATAAAACGAAATATAACAAAATAAAATTCCATTAGAATCAATAACTTTTTCTTAAAAAATATTGGAGAAAGAAGATGACACACATATACACACACGTTATTCCCTTCCACCATTCCATGACTTAAAATGAATGAGTACCATTCACTGTTGCGCAATGAACAACAGAGAGAAACAGTCAGAAACAGTAAGAGTACAATTCACAAATTCAGAAGGCACTTTAGAAGTACTGAAGAGAAGAGGAAGAAGAAGAAGAGGTGGAAGTAAAAGAAGGGAAGTTTTGTGCATATACACACACACAAATTATAATGATATGCTTATTGGTACTTGTTGTACACAGATATAATAATAATAATAATGAATGAACTGGGGTCATATTGTCAAAATCTACGAGAAGTCAAGAAAAAGAAAGAGATGACAGCGAGAACAAAGGAATGGAAAAGAAATAAAATTCATTAAACTTAGGAAAACACTTTTTTTCTCTTGTTTCTTCTACTTCCCATTGCTTTCTAGTGCTTTATGAGTAGCTGAAATTTTGAAAAAAAAATCAAATAAAATAAAATCAATATTTATTGTATTAGAAATAAATGCATGTTGTTTATACAAGTGGGGTGATAAACCTTACTTTGGTTACAGGATTTCATCATGAGCTGATATCGGTTAGAGAAGCATTGGAAAACCAGCACTGGAGTACTGGACAGCCATCTGTTTCGTCAGCCTAGTTTGGAACTCTCCAAAAATACGCATACACCACAAGGGTTCGAACCCAGGACCTTCCTGTTTACAAGGCCAACAAGCTCGTCGTAGACCATTAAGCCACTGGGACCCGCCAGTACAATGGCCAGTTCATGAATTCCAGCTTCTTCCAATTCACGACTACTTCACCGTGTCATCAGTGGCGAGTATTTGTCCTCACGCCTAACCTGCTGTACCCTACTGGTCACGACTTCCCACTAGAACCTCAGGTAACTACCTACCTGAATAGGGTCAGTCGCTAGTGTCGTGAATTGGTAGAAGTTGGAATTCATGGGCTGGCCATCTGACTGGAGGGTCCCAGTGGCTTCATGGTCTGTGGCCTCTCTCGTCTTGTAACCAGAAGTTCCTGGCTTTGAACCTTGACAGTGGCTTGGATGCGTACTGCTGAACAGTCTCAAACCAGTACTCCCAGCTTGTTTTCCAATGGTTCTCTAACCGATATCAGCTCATGATGAAATCCTCCAATCAATCCAACAAAATCTCTATAAACCAATACTTAAATCTCACTTTTTTAGATAGTTGGAGGCAATCAGCAGGAAGCCCTATCTGGACTTAGATTTCGTGCTTGTTGGCAATCTTGAAGGAACTCGTGTCCCTACCTAGTGTTCAATCAAAGTATCAATTATAATCGTACAGGAGAACAGTAGCGAAATCGAATAGCTCAACAGTCACATCTCTGACTGGAGCACTGAGTAACCCGGATGGATTCGAAACTCAGGAAAGATATGATTGTATCATCAAGATTGCAGATACACACCTTGCTGACTGATGAGTGTCAACAAGCACGAAATCTAAGTTCAAAACTGCCTGCTAATTACCCTCAAACGTCTACCACCAATTTATGGTCACCCAGAATGGCGGTCACTCTTCAAACCTGAGAGATTGACAGAATTCAGTCTGCAATAACGCCAGGGACCAGGCATATGACACTAGTTAGTTACTACCCAGTGTCCAAACAAATTAAATGGCACATTTTTTTGGTGGTGACTAAAAGAGGGATCTAGAACTTATCTGCACAACCACCCACCCCTAGTGAATGTTCTCACTGACACTGGTTTCAAAGACCCCACTAGAGTTAGTTGGTCACGCCATCAGCAGACAAGTCCTAAAACAGGACAAAACACAAGTCCTGGATTCCACCGTTAGCCATTCACCTAAATCAATAATATGAGATCGATATCAAGGTATTGTTTAAGCATCAATACGAGGAGCTAGCTGACATGTCAGGCGACTAAATAACGAACGAACAAACGAAAATTTCAAATTTTACATTCAGAAAACAAAAGAAAGGGGATTAAGCAAAGAATATTCACATTTTCGATGATTTCCTCTTCGAGTTCTACAGTTATATATATATACACAGAATATTCTAGAATATTAGCAGACAATAACAATATTAGTGTTTTTTAAATAATATCGATTTGTAAAGTAAGATCACAATGGAATTACCACAGTTCATTAAAGATGCTTAAATTATAATAATAATAATAATAAAAATAATAATAAAGATATAGTAGCAAATAAAATATCAACTAAAATTAAGGAAATTCCACAAAGATTCATGATCATTCAAACCTAGATGGCCAAGGTAAGGATAATGTCTGAACTAACTTCTTTTAGATGCATGAATTAGGCTTCTTAATGTGGATCCCCACAGCCTCAGCAATATTTAGTTGTCGAACTCTTAAGGCTAAATTGAGATTTGTTGGTATGGGGTAAATGACTTTGAAAGCCGCCTTCTTGACATCAGTCTTGTGTTATGTATCCACAAGATGAGATAGAATAGCGCAGCTATGAATGGATTTTGTTTGTCCTTTACTTAACCACCACACAGGAAGATGTTCGGAAATTCGACGAGAAACACACCTAATTGTACGGCCTATGTAACTGACTCACTCCACAGGAGCAGTTAAATTGGAATATAGCTGAATTTAGCGAAATACACGGTTCACTAAGCCAGAACAATGTGCTTCAACCACTGTCCTAATGAAGAACTCAAGATTCTTTAATAATTACTAAGTAAAAACGTTTACTATCCATGAAAGTTATTGATAACAAAGTATGAATTCTGATGCCAAGAGAACTGAATACGTCACAAGCTCTAGGGAAGAACTTCTTCATAAAACTGAAGTTCTTTGGTGATGACAGTAGTGAAATAAATAAATAAATAAAATAATAATAACACAACGCCAAAGGAATGCAGGAAAAACGGCATTTGCTACCACAAAATAAATTGCCTCTTCACGACAACAGAGGCGATAAAGATTCCTGGGCAACACCGCCAACAGCAACAACAACAACAGACAACAATCGGCATAAATGGGAGGAACCTGAAAGAAACAACCTCCTCCTCCTCCACCTACCTACCTACCTAGGAAGCATCGTTTCAACTACAGGCGGACAGAACTGATGAGAATATCAAGGCGGGAATCGGGAAAGCAAGGCGACTTTTCATTTCTCTCAAGTCTGTGTGGAGGTCAACAGCACTGCTCAGCATCAAAAATAAGATCCCGATTTTCAACTCCAATGTCAAGTCAGTCAGTGCTACTATACGGATCAGAGACTTGCACTGCGCGTCATAAAGAACATCTCAAACAAACTACAGACCTTCATCAACAGTTGTCCTCGCTCAATACTACTCAAGATCAGATGGCCGGCCACAAAAGATCAGCAACAGAGATCACTGAGAGCGAACCAACACAGCAGGAACCGATTGTGAAACAAATAGGCAGGAAGAAATGGAGATGGATTGGCCATACTCTGAGGAAATCATCGAGTGACATCACTAGACAAGCCCTCGAGTGGAATCCAACGAATGGGAAGCGGCGAGTTGGTCGTCAGTGCAAGGGTGACTTGGAGGAGGTCACGTGAAGAGGAGATGAAAACGTGTGGGTAGACTTGGAGCCAGGTGAAGACTCTAGCAGAGAACCGAACGCAACGGAGACGAGCGGGTGAGGCCCTATGTTCCTCTAGGAATTAAAGGAAACAATAATAATAATTAATAAAATATTATTATTAACAGCACTTATACCGTTTCAAAATGAATTAAATCAATAATACCGACAGATTACATTTGAAATGCGTCAGTAAGACAGAGAGAGAGATAATATGTACTCATATAACACTTATAACCAACCAACCAACCGACAACAACCAGCGCCAATCACTACCAACGGGAGAAATTCGGAAGAGGTTACACTTCCTTCATTTATCTAGAAAGGATTGTTTCAACCACCACAAGCTGGTGGAACGGATGAAGACATCGAAGCCAGTCAGTCAGAACCGGAAAGGCGAGATACGTATTCGTCAATCAGAAATCATACATTTATTCCCCTTAGTGAATTTGAATAAGGCAAGAACAACAGTAGTTTTTGCAGAATAAAATGGTACCATCATTGTTTATTTCGTTGACTTCTCATCAGCTGCTTACAGTCCAAAAACATTATTCAGTATATCTACAGAATCAATTTTAACATACTTGCACAGAGTTTATTTTTAAGCAAAAATCAATCAATATATGCTGACAGTAATATATATATCATATTTAACACTATTCCGAATAATAACGATCATACACAATGAAAACTTTTCAGCATTTCGCATTCAGATGAAAGAGAGATGAAAAATATCCAGTTACCAGTGCAAAGAAAGACTGACAACTGCTTTTTTCTGAACGCACAAATCAGATTTCAGGCGCTTGATGGAGATGGCTTCAGCAAACTTAAGGAGAATTGAGCTATTTTGCTTATGATAATTTTGAACGACTTTTCGACGTCCACCTCATGACCCGTGTCGAGTAGATGCCTAGCGATGGCACTACTGGAAGCATTTGTTCCCTTTAGATATAGACTTTTTGTTACATGTTCAGAAAATCGTAGATATGACCTTCTTTTTGTTCTTTCACTGTAACTGCTCCCGCAGATACATGTAAATTTGTATATACAGTTGGAGTTAACTTGAGAAGCAAGTATGTTAAAAGTGGTTCTGTAGATATACTTAATAATGTTTCTGGACTGTAAGCAGCTGATGAGAAGCCAACGAAATAAACAATGATGGTACCTGAATAAAGCAAGAACAATAGTGGTTTGTGCAGAATAATATAGTACCATCATTTATTTCGTAGGCTTCTCATCATCTGCTTACAGCCTAAATAAATTATGAGGTTTGCGTACAGAAAAGTTTTAACATACTTGCAAATTTTCACATGTTGTCAGTTGACAAAAAGTTCCACAGTAAGTGAACAGTGCTCAGACAATTGCGCTTATTTAGTTTTTACACAGGCAGTTCAAGTTTAAACAAAATAGATGTATGCATACAATGGTAAAAGAGTCACGTAATAAAGATGAAATATGAGTTAGATACAGAGTGACTAATAAATTAAGTAACAATGTACTGAGTTCAACTCAAATCATAGAAACAAGAGACAAGCGAAATTACAGAATATAAAAGGGGGTGAGGTTAAAGACAAAGATTACGTAATCAGATGAGAGAATAAAAACATTCAGTTACCAGGGCAAAGAAAGATTAATAACTGCTTCTTTCTGAACACATAAATCTGGTTTCAAGCGTTTGATAGAGATTGCTTCGGCAAACTTGAGGAGAATGGAACCCCTTTGTCTTTTGATAATTTTAAAGGATTTCTCGATTTCTACCTCATGACCCGTGTCGAGAAGATGTCTAGTAATAGCGCTGCTGTAAGAGTTTGTTCCCTTGAGACGTAGGCTTTTTGGCACATGTTCAGAAAATCGGAGATGTGCCCTTCTTTCTGTTC